GGCTCCACCCACTCTAGGCCCGAAAACCTCCTTTGGCTTCTGGCACCTTCTGTTTTACTTTCCTGTGTTTCTTATTTCCTTATTTATTTAATAGCCAGGGTGCTGTGGCTGGGTCTTGTGTATATGTGTCTGCATGCTTGAGAAAGCAAAATTATGAGGAAAGATCTGTACTTTCTTTTCTCAAACATTCTATAAATAGTAAAACAGTAGACATAAAACATTAATTTCATCATTCCCAGAGGAGCTAACTTTTCCTCTATTTCCCTCCACTTTTGGGGCAACACATTATTCGTTGCAGGGCCTTTACGTTTTTTTTAGTAAAAGTGATTATATGGTTTTTACTGTCCTTTAGTAAGCATCCTTGATTATATGATGCCTTTTCTGTCTCTGCTCTATAAACATGAGATTCAGAAATGTGTGATAGAAAAAACAATGTCCCATACAAGGAGCCGTCAGGCACTTAGTCACTCAGAGACCACTTATAGAGAGATGGGGATGGAACGAAACCCTACATTCAAGGCCAAGAGTAGTCATGTCACCACTCCTACTGGCCAAGTTGCCCTGGGCCATAGTCTCCTCATCTCTAATGCATGAGATTGGCTCTATGACTTCAGTTGCTTCCAGTTCCATAACGCTACAGCTCCATCTAAATGATGAAGTTCATTGTTGCTGCTGGAGAGAGTAGACGGTCATTGCTTTGTCTAGTCCTGCCTCTGAAGGACTCCAGGTTTGTGAATCCCATAAAAGAAGTACGTGGCTTTCATAAATTTCCTCAAGGAGGTCTTATTTCTCCTACATTCTAGCCTTATTTTTCAATAACAGCTATGAGCCTGTCATTGGCCCCTGTAATCTCATAAGAAAATGTCTCTTTCCCGCCCAAGCCCAACACATTCAAGTAGGCGAGATATAGCAGATGTGGCTATAGGGCGGTCTCCCTCTGCAGTCTGCTAGCTCTAGTACAGTTGCCAGCCCTTGAGCCCTTGGCAGCTGCTTGATTTGGCCTTCGCTGGTGAGGATCCGGGATGTGGGGCATGGAGCCCGGGAGAGTCAATATTGAAAGGCCTGTTTGTTTTTTTGGCTTTCACCTGTTGGAAACTCTGTAATCAGAGCCACTCATAAAAAGGAAGAAGGGACAGCAGGGGAATTCCTGTCCTGGAACCGTGAATGTTTCCACTGTTACCCTGGGGGAATCACACAAGAAAAACTGGCCTTGCCTATAGTTGAGAGCAGCACATGAGTGAGAAAATACGCCCAGAGATGCCAGCAGGAATGGTACCATGAAGCTTAAAGGGGACTCAGGAAGCACACACACCTCCTGGAAGTGTCTCTGCCTTCCAAGACCAATTGCTACTCTCCCCTATTGGGTGTCCCCTCATCCAGAGGGGGCAGCAACTCACCGTGCAGGTATCTAAATGCCACCCACCCTGCTGGTCTCCCAAGACCCTCTAGCCATTGCTTATGTTCCTATGTCATAAAGAAGACTCCCAGAACCCATCATCCAGGAATGCCATCCACTTTCCTCCCACCATGCCTCGATCCTCATCCTCACTCATCTTTATCTTCTTCCTCCTGTTTCTGAGACTTAGGGGCATCCCCACCCCCTTGTGTGCTCTCCAGTTCCTCCAGCCTCTTCTTGAACCAGCGCCTTGGACCTTCCTTCTCCCCATCCCTTCTCTCTTCATCAGATGCTGGACCTCAATCTACACACATCTTCAAGTCTCCTCTGGGCTTCTCTTCTTCCTTTAGCTCCCACACTATCTCCTTCCCTCCCCTGCCAACTTCCTTGAGAACAGTCCATCCTCACTCCTCCATTTCTTCGCTTCCCAGTCACTCCCAAACCATTGTGTTGAGGCTTCCAGCATTACTCCAGAACAAAAATGAAAACAAAACAAAACACAACAACAATCCCATGTTCTTGGGCCAGAGAACTTCAAATTGCCTATTCCAGGCTTCCTCATATGCACTTACCCTTCATATGCAACTATCACGAATTAGATATCTATTACATGTCAGGCATATAGGCCAGCAGAGTACAAAAATACCCCAAATAAAACCCAAGTGTCCTTCGGATGAAAGGCCCACTAGGTTTTATCTGCCACTTGCTTTCAGTGTGGGTGGATTTATCTCCCCTTTTCCTGAAGGCGGCCAGGTCTGGGCAGGCAGAGCAAACCAACGGCCAGTGGGAATCTGGGTGAAAGGTGAGATGTGGGTGAGGGACAGGAGATAGGCTTAGGGTTCCAATGACACAGTTTCCTGCTGTTCCCAAGACACAGCAGCAGCCTGCCAGGTGTTGGGGGCTACAGGCCTTGGCGCCTAACCATGGCCGCTGTCCCAGCATGGAGCACTTGGTAGCAGCTGATGGCAGGGCAAGCTAACGCAGCTGGGGAAAGTGGCCCGAGTGAGCCAAACACTGGCACATCCCTGCCCTGTACCCAACAGCTCCCCTGCTCTATCACAGCCTCTACCACACAGCAGTCATCAATTCCATGCCAACTCCTGCAAACCCTTGAGCTCTAGGGAAGGTTACAACCAGCTGTACAACATGCAGAGTCCAGTGCAAAATAAGAATACAGGGCCCCTGTTCCAAAATGATTAGGAATTTCAAGAAGGTGACAGCAGAGCGTTAAACCAAAGCATGAGGCTCTTCTAGTGTTCAGCTGCCTTGGTTACATGCCCAGGAAGCTGGCCCTACCAAGCTTTATTTATCACCTTGTAGTTGCTCAGTAGGCAGGCTTTAAAGGAATGAGTTTGGGTTTCTCCAGCAACACTGGATGAGGAGTCAGGGGCCCTGGGAAAAGAGGCAGTGGAGGTCCTTACCCTCCCTGGCTGCAGGCTGGCCATCAGTGAGTGCCTGCCCTGCCTCAGTTTCCTGTGTCCACACACAGAAAGATCGTCTTGCCTGCCTCTTCTCTGCTGTGGGGTGAGAATGAGAAAGGCACAAGTGCACAGGCTGAACTCCCAGCTCTTACATCCAGCGATTCTGTGATTCTGAGGAAAGTGGTGTGAATGGAAGTGCCAGGCAAATCGAAGCCATCACCAAAACCCCAAAAGGTATGGTGGGTGTTTGTACCGTGGAATGTCTAGGTGTTCTGAGATGGGCTAAAGGACAATTGATTTTCTGCCCTCTGAGATAGGTGTAGTTAAACCCAGGGACATGTGGAGTGGTGTTCTATCTCATGGTGGGATTTGACGGGATGTAGCATGGTGGCAGAGACAAAGAGCACACGGAGTTTGGTGAGAACACCAGCCTCTCATAGCAGGAGTTCCTTAGATGAGTCTCAGCCTTTTCAACCCTCATTAGCTCACCTGTGAAATAATACAATTAATAGTAACAAACACATTTGGCAGTTTTATGTGCCAGCTACTGCTCTAAACCCTTTAAAGGTACACACTGACTTAGATCCTTAGAACGACCCTGCGATGCAGGAACTGTTACTATCCACATTTTACCCACGAAAGAAAGTTCAGTTACTTGCCAAGCCCATAGCTGACAGGTTGGGGTACTGGGGTTCAAATCCAGTCTTTGGCCTCCAAAGTGAGTACTTAACCACTAAGGGGACTGTGAGGGGCTCATGAGCATCCACATGCGGAATTGCTTTAGACGTGAAAGGTAATCTGAGCCTGTGAGAGAACAGTGTTAATAACATTTAACAACAATCACAGTGGGAGATACCTCTGTGCCACTTGCTCTCTCCAGCCTCAGTCTTTTCCTCTGTGAAATGTGGGAGGGGAGGTTTTGCTTAAGATAATCTCTAAGATCCCTTCCACTTCTCAGAGTCTGGTATGAAGGTGCCCCTGTCCTCATGTGGGGCTGAGAGGAGGGCCAGCCGTCCAATGTAGCCTGTTTTGCTTCCTAGAAGGCCAGAAGGCCAGCCTCAGACTCATGTGCTTGAGCAACACCAAGAGTCAGAGGTGGAATACGGCCCACCCTGACCTTGGGGCCACCCCAGAACAGGAATGGAAAAGACCAGTGCGTAGGGCTGGGGCACCAGAAGGAGGGCTGGGGAGTTGGCCTGACAGCCTCCTGAAACTCTGGGGCTCAAGGTGTCTGGTGCAGCCCTTCTGCTGGGGTGGGTGGGGTGGAGGAGGTTGTGAGCTGGTGGTTGGCTACCTGGGTTTCAAGGAGAGCAAAGGACACCACAGAGCGATTTATGACAGCTGCTCAGTAAGTGTTTTTATCCCTCCAGGAACAGGGCTTATTGTGGAGTGAAGGGGAGTGGGAGGGTGAAGCAAAAGGTGTGGGAGGGGGGCGTCTAATATATAGACCAGCAGGAGCCCGACTGACTCACCAAGAAGGGCTGGGCTGTTCTGTCCGGGCCAGTGTGTGGGAAAGGGTTTACTGAGAAGGGGACATTTCTGTAGGGCCAACATGGATGTGTAGTGTTTCAGCAGGCAGAGGAGGAAGGGGAGGGGCAACCCGGGCAAAGCAGGAACTCCCAGCAGTTCCGAGAGCAGGGTACTTGTGCGTTTGGGGGGTACGGGGTGAGGCTGGAAAGTTAGCTCACGGCCAGAGAGCGAGTGCAAAAGGCCTGTGTACCAGGCTGAGGGTTACCCTTCAGCCCGACTGCCTTGGAAGGTCTTGGAAGATTTATTTAAAGCTTTATTAAAAATATGCATTGTATGCTTTTTATTATACAAGCATTCATGCCCACAGAAGAATGTATAGAAGGGACAGAAAAGGATAAAGAAGGACAAAATCCCCAGAGATAGCAGCTGGAGAGGACCCGGCTGCTGCAGGTTTTCAGGGATGTATACCCAGACGCCAGCTGTCTCCAGCGGGCTCGCAAGGTCCCAGGCTAATTCACCTCCTGTAGAGAAATGCACGGCCCTGCAACCTGTAAACATTCTGGAATCAGGGCAAGGAGCTTAGGGGGACTCGGTAACAGAGGGTCCAGGCAGCAGACCAGTCAGGCAAAGTCAGCGGCAGCCCCGCCCTCGCCACCCAGGCTCCCTGATAGTCTGAGGTTTCCTCCCGCCGGCCAGGACCCCACCGCGGGGTCGGTGCAGATCCCGGAGGGCGCCCAGCGGGTGGCGGCCGGCAAAGCTGGCTCGCGAGCGCCGCCTCCACTTCTGCGCTGCTGGGGGCTCGTCCAGCCCGCGCGGTTCCGGGCGGAGAAAGTCGGGTGGAGCAGCCAGCTGGGCCGGCAGCGGCTACCTGACAGCTGTGAGCCCAGCGGCGGCGCCAGCAGGTGGAAGGGAAGGCAGAGACGCCCAAGGTACCTTGGAGGACGGTTGCGGGGTGGGTGTTCTTCCAGCCCCCTCTGTCCCGGGCAGCCCGGGAGGGCGGCGCTTCCTGCCTGCTTGCCCCGTGGCAGCCAAGGTGTGTGAGCTGCTCGCATATGTGTGCGAGCACATGGAGCTCCCGGGAGGGCCTACTGGGGACTGTGCACCCGGGAAGGGGACAGCTGGCTCCCCTACCCCTGTCCCCAGGCCTGGCCTGGCCCTGGATCCCTTCCCTCAGATAATCTTATCACTCAGAACCTTGAGAGGGACTGGAGGGGGGCCCGGGGAAGGGGGGACTGAGATCAGGAAGGGCCCTCAGGGGCACTTTGGCCACATCCAGCCTGTTCGTTTTACAGATGAAGAAGCCGAGGCTCAGAGTGGTGAAGTGACTGGCCCAGAGTCACAGGTCTAGAAACCAGGACTCCTTACCTACAAGTCAGTGCTGCTAGGAGCCCTGCCACGTGGGCCAGGACAGCAGCAGGGCTGTTGTGTGTGCAGAAACAAACAACTGGGAGAGACAAGGTCGGAAAGGCAGAAACAGACACAAAAAGAACCTCCCAGAACAAAGGAAGAAGGTCAGGAAATGGACTACTACTTGGCTGTACTTCCTCCCGGCCCCATGTATGCTGTGGTCTGGCGTGTGACTCAGCCGGCCTGCTGACTCTGCCCAGGTGTGTGTGTGTGTGTGTCTGTGTGCATGCGTGTGTCTGTGTGCATGTCTGTATGTGTGTGCACACGTGTGTATGTGCGTTTGTGTGTGTGCATGGGGATGTGGTGAACTTCCCCAAGCATGTGGGAAAGCCCTCTGAATTCCTATGTCTGTCCACTCACACAATCAGCTTGGACAAGGGAAAACGTAATAGTAGTGGATGATGTGGTGAGGAATGTTGGTTGGGATCAGATGGTTGGAATTATTGGAATTGTGGCAAGGAGTGGTGGAAGGCCTAGAGTGTTAGGCTAGGGAACTTGAACTTCATTATTAGGCCTGGGGATATTTGATGGTTGAAGAGAAGGGCATTGCTGTTATTGGGGCTAGGTTCAGAAGAACTTGGAGTTTGGCAGCCATATTTGGGATGTACCAATAGTGAAGGAGGCTGCGGGAGGAGAACCTGAGAAGGAGAAGATTGCAGTGACTGTGTGCGGCTGAACAGGGCTGCTGGGAATGGAGAGGAAGGGGCACGACCAGAGACATTGCTAAAAGGGGTGTTTGTGTGAGAGAGAAATAGTCTGTTATAGGCCAGGGCCTGTGGCAAGACATTTTCTCACATGCTTTCATTTAATCCTCCCAACAACCTCATGAGGCAATTATTACCTCTACCCATTTTGTAGAAGAGGAGACTGACAGTCAGACAGGTTAAACAACTTGTCCAAGGTCACACAGCAAATAAGTGGTGGGACAGGGATTTGAACCCGGAGACAGATGGAATAGATCTAATCTGGTAGCTGAATAAATGTCAGAGGCTAGAGCAAAGGAGATCACCATGATGGAGATTTGGGTTCCCGTGCTAGGCAGGGAACCCTAGGAACGATGATTGAAGATGTGGGAGCCTGTGATGGACCATGAATGGGGACAGGGCTGTAGCGGCCATCGGTTCTGTATCCCCGGCCTCGAGGCTTCTTGTTGTGCATTTGCTGAGCGTGCTCCGGGGAAGCAGGCTTGAGCCTGCAGGTGCTGGGATGCTGGAAGGTGGCCGAGAGAAGCTATGCTGAGGGAGGCTGGTGGGAGGTCTCCCGGGATCTGGCAAGTCAGTCACCAGATTCATATCGCTCCCTTGCATTTCTTTCACACAGAACAACTGCATGTTCTGTCTCAGTGCCCAGGGGCCTCAGGCTTTGCCATGACTGCTTGGGCGAGAGTTAGTTGAGGTTATCCTATGGCCCCAGGCCCTGGTTCCCTCCTATGTTTGCTCTATAAAAAGGGCTAGGCAGATCCTAAAGATGTGGTTGTAGACTGTTGTGGAATTCCCCAAGTGCCATTTCTGGATCCTAAGAACAGGGCCAGGACCTCTTG